GATCAATAATTATACAAGTTATAATTTTCCTAAACATGTTATGCTATAGAAAGCGATAAACGAGTATCTTGAATGATATCAACTTCAAAAACTATCATTACCATACATCGTAAGTTGAAACAATCAAACTTGAAAAATCACCTCAAAAATATTCAAGTTAACAGACCAAAATTTGAGTCCAAACAACAAACAAAAATATTAAAAACTATACAAAATTTACAAATGTTAGGGTGCCTCTCAACAAGCGCTTGTTTTACGTCGTAAGCTCGACGCAATTATTATGCTTAGATAGTAACTTCCTCACATCACCCGATGATTTTCTTCAACGAGCAACCTAAAAACAAGTGTCTTAACCAAACACTTGAAACATTACGAAACATGAAAATTTACAACAACGTGTAAACAAACATGATGATAACACATATTTACATTACTTGAACAAAAAGAAAAACATATGTGCACAAGTATGGAAAGTAAACACAAAACATGTACAAGTGAAAATATACAAGTTCATTTACAAAATCTATACAACATATACATTATGTGCAAAGCTCAAAACCAATGAAAACTATTGCGATGCAATTCAATATCAAAACACCAATCTCCAGCAACAATGCCATTTTGTTGACATAGTAAAGCGACAAGAAAAAGATTTGGAAGTATTCTGGGTTTTATAGTATCCATAGAGATCAGTACAAGGGAATGAATATCATTCAACAGTTTCTACGTTTCAGAGCTTGGTTTTAAATAGTTTTCGAGGAAATGGTAAAAACTATTGACAAGAAAATAAATACATTCAATGGAAAAGAGAAACCTATCAGGCGTGAATTTATACTACTCGTCAAAAATTTAAATTTATGGATCAATTGTACTCAATATACCATACTCATCTAAATCATCAAGTATCTCTCTAGATGTACCACAACATAGATTATATCTAACACAAAGTTGAAGACAATCATATTACTCGCGTCAATGATCTCTCAGCGCAACACAAACAACACATAAGCATTAAGCTCTGATACCCACAATGATTATTAACTCTAAATATATATCTAGAATCTAGAAACTAATAGATATCCATCCCTAATTAGAATTTGTGAGGTATATGTCTATAACAACATAAATCCAAATATAAAGCAAAAAGATCAAGGAAGACATCGATAATGATTTGTAAAGCAAACTTTATACAACATCATGATCAATACATATACATATGTTCAGAGTAAGCATACAAATAAAACCCAAAAAATATAGAAATACATGGAGAAGAAAAAATAAAAACAAATATCTCACGGGTTGTCTGCTCTGATTGATGAGAAACTCAACTCCAGATCATCTAAATGCAAACTTCAATGTTGTTTTCTAGCTTCTCTCATCAAAAGAATGAAGGTGATGGTGTTGGGACTCAAAAATACCCAAAAAATATGTTTTTAGTCCTATTTAATGAGTTTCAAAGTTGCAGGGCACACTTAGCCCGGTCTATGGATGCTTAGCGTGAAACCTGTTGTGTCGAAAAAATTCAGCACTTCTTTTCGCTATAACTTGATAACCGTAACTCCGATTTACGCAAGGTTTGAAGCGTTTGAAAGCTTATTAAATGATCTATTTAACAATGACTAAATATCACCTAAGTTGATAATTTTTATCATATTTGTGTTGAGCATTATTCTTTGATCAATTGCTAAAAATTGCATTCTTGAAGCTTACCTTTGGCCTTTATTACTCGATGCTCCAATTATGCATGAATACCTACAAAAGAGATGAAAAGTAATCAAACTCAATGATATTTACATGATAATACAATATATACACTATAACATAAATTATACCGAATATACACCAAAGTTGAGGTTTATTGACGAAAAGCAAACGGAATAAGTTGAAGAATACTAATTATTCACACTCAAATTCACAACAATTTAGCACTCATCAATATTCAAAAGACAATTACGGCCTAGTGAAATAATTTGGATATAAAGAATGCAAAAGATCCTTTGGATATAAATAATGCAAATAAAGTAGCGCCAGAACGACAAATCAAATTGAAGTCTTGTGTTGCAATAGTTAAAATTGGTGGTGCTCGAAAGCTTTGGGCATAAAGTATGAAAATGAGTAGCAAGATCCAGATAATCAATTTGGAGCTATTATGTCTTGGTGTTTCTCAATATCAAAGGAAGAGAAGGTGTTGAATCAATAAGAAATATTAGGGTTTGTGGAGTTTCTCTTGGAACACTTCTCTTGTATCAAACTTTTTGTATAGTAAGAATTATCCTAATTCCATTGAAATTAGGCGCAAATGTACCCACACACGAGGACAAAAGTAGGGAACAGTGAAGACAAATTCTCGTGTCTTTTTTTTCGTATTATTTTACTTGCTTTATTTTTCATCAATCAATTTGTCGAATAGCATTGCATAATCAATTGATTCATAGGAATTTTCTGGGCTATTTTTTTTTTGAATTAAGTTTTGATATTTCTTATAATCACTTTTTACTATAAGTGCTTTTTGTATCAAGATAACTCAAAGGAAAACTATGAAAGTTCAATTGTACACCAAGTGTTCGACAAATTGCTTTGTTAAGTTCTTTTGATAATTGTCATTGGAAATAGTATTGCTAGTAACTTGCTATAAATGACTGATAATGTGTTACTTGATTGAAGTATACTCAATTCAGATTATTGTATTTATTCCATATTCAGTTTTATATTACATATCTGAGTTCTAATAAGATGATTCATATAGACGACATATTTTCAAAACCTTCAGCTTGCACTCTTTTCTAAACAATTTTTAAAACCAGATTTTTATCTTGTTTTTTTAGATTGATGATCTATTCACCCTCCTCTAGATAAGGCACCATCGTCTAACATACACCTATCGTCTTAAGGTTTTGGGTGAATATGTGGTGTCTTTTTCACTTGTGTTTTGCTCTTGATCCAATGTAGATGCTCCTCATGACTTCCCAACGATGGTATCAGAGTCGTGGTTCTGCTTGATGGGGGAGCTGGATTTGGTGTTGGATCTTGTTATAGGATGTGGGGGACTCACACTTGCGGGGGAGAATGTTGGATGCAAGTGTGAGTGGTTAAAGTTCCACATTACCTATGAATGTGTGGAATGTTGGATTTATAAGAGAGATGACCCATTTACCTAACACCTTAAGGTTTTGGATTGAGATGTGGTGTCTCCCTCTCTTGTGGTCCTAAAGTATTTCTCTCATTAGTGCCTTTGACTTCCCCGGACTCCCTAACCAATGGTATCAGAGACTGATTCAATTAATGGATCGATTCCTTGTATCAAAAGTTTTCCTGACAATGTAGTGGTCAGACAATGTGTCCCGTTGTAGTGCCTGCAACAGTGGTACATGTGTATGTTGATGAAAGAGCTTCCGTTTGAGGGGGAACATAGTGAATGGACTCACACTTGAGAGGGAGATTGTTGTATATAAGTGTGAGTTGTTAGTCCTACATTGCTTGGAATAGTGGAGGTTGAACGCTTTATAAGTGACAAGTATCCATACACCTATCACCTTAAGATTTTGGGTGAATATGTAGTGTCTCTTTCACTTGTGTGTTGCTTTTTACTCAATATGGATGCTCTCCATAATGACCCAACACTATCATCATATAACCTTACAACAACTAAATTACTAAATATTTTGTGTGCATACAAGCTCACCCAAACAATCACAAATATTCACGTTTTCCAAAAATTAAACTTGAACTTTGACAATTTAATAAAATTAAACTACGATGTTTGATTTGAGTAAATAAATATTCTTTAGAAAGCTTAGAATGTTTAGATTGTAAATATAATCTTTTGGCAAAATATCATTTTTGGTTTCGTATGTTAACGTTAATGTTCATTTCAGTCTCTTAACTTAAAAAATATTCGTATTGATCCTTTAACTCTTTAAAACGTTTCATTTTAGTCAATTTTATCTAATTAGTGATTAATTTAGCGATCAATTTCTAAATTTTCTATCGTTAATTAGATAAAAAAAAGATTAAAATGAAGCATTTTGAAGGTTGAAAGATCAATATTAACCTCTTTTAAATTAAGAGACCAAATTAAACATTAACGCTAACATACAAACTAAAAAATATATTTTGCCTGATTTTTTTATCGAATACTAACCATCCAATTGATTCAATTCTCTATAAAAACACATGCACATACCAAAACCAAGACATCAAATATCGATCAAACGTGTAACAATAACTTATCCTACTTTACGTATTGAAAATGAACTATTCTAGAGTCTATTTTATAAAGAAATTTGTGTACTTTACTAAACATAATATGTATATCTATAATTTATATTGTAAACATGGATAGCCATAACATAAATACAATCTAAAAAATTCCAAAACCATATATAATTTCGATGAGTAGGTACTGAAATTTTTACTAAATATTATAGTAAAATACAATTGAAAAAATTGCAAAACTTTTCTATACCACCAATGTATCATTAAACATATTCTAAAAGTAGTACTTTATTGGTAATAATTTGTTTTTTTTAAGAACAGCAAAAATGAATTGGTTTATATATTTAAAGGTAAAAGAACAAAAAAGTTAGTTAGTTAGTTTTTTCATGTTCCTGGCCTAGCGTTGTGGAGACAAGGAAGGGAGGGAAGAAGGGTTTATCAAGGTAAGGAAGACAATCTTGATAAATTTTATCTTTATATATTTTCTTCATTTCTCTCACAAAATTAATAATATTGTCTTTTATGTTCTTTACATTCTAGCCTCATTCTCTTGTTGATTGGTGATTTTTCCCTTTTCATTCCTAACCCTTAATTATCTCCCCTCAATAATAGAGGTAAGTTTTGTAGAATTTTGATCAATTTTTGTCATCTTTTCTGTTGAAAATTTCAACAAAAAAATTTACCCCGCAATTGGTTGTTATTATTGTTATGAAGTTTTGTTATGAAATTTAGTTTTGGCTAATAATTGTGAATGAATATATCTTAATATGCCAAAGGATCTAAAGATGGAAAATAAGGGTGAAAATCACATGACATCAGCTGCAGCGTTTGTTGAAGGAGGCGTCCAAGAATCTTCTGATGATGCTTGCAGTATATGTCTTGAAGAGTTCAACGATAGTGATCCTTCAACTGTAATATTCGTGTTTATATTTCACAAATATATGTATAGGTTATTTGAAATATACTTTCTTACTTATTCTCTCTATCTTTCTCTTGCATTACAGGTCACTGTTTGCCGGCACGAGTTTCACCTACAGTGCGTTCTTGAATGGTATTCTTATTGTTCATGGATTTTCCATTAATGTATCTGTCAAATTCATCTTCTGGTTGTTCTTCCATATCTCTCATGTGTTGAAGCAATTTCCTCATGATCTTATTTGTAGGTGTCAAAGAAGCTCTCACTGTCCTATGTGTTGGCAACCTATTAGCTTGAAAGATCCTACCGGGTTGGTTATGAACTTTACTCTCTTTTGTTATTGTTCTAACAATTTGTTTATCATGTAATCAATCCCGTGTGTTTCTTGACAGACAAGAATTGTTTGAGGGAGTAGAGCAAGAGAGGAATTGGAGGGACACTCCATCAAGAAATGTTAACACCATTCATCACCAATCTATTGGAAATTTTGGATTTCAAAGTGTGAGTTATCACATTATTAAATATTTATTTGTGCTTTCTTACATTTTATGCGCGTCATATTGGCAATTTTTCTCGCTCTACAGCTTCGCATGGAAGAGAGAATACTTCAAAACTTAGCTATTGTTGCATCAATCGAAAGAAGACACCGTCGTGGTCAAATGGAAGGGAGGGGAACTCAACAACTTGATCATGATCAATCCCAATTCTTATTATTCTCAAATCAACAGGTTGTACCTTCATCAATTTTTGGTTTAGGTGTTGAAAGAGGAGACAATCCAAATGCTATGCATATGAGTAGTCAATCTAATCCAATAACATCTAATGAAGATGAACCATTACAACAGACACAACAATTGCAAAATGAAAGTTCTACAAATTCTAGATCTGATACAAATGGCTTAGAAATGCAATCATTTTCAGATACTTTGCGCTCTAAATTTAATGCATTGTCGACCAGGTATGTTTTCTTATTTATTACATGTGTTTGAAATTTGTATTTTTATCAAATCATTGTGTAATAACTTGTCATGTTACTTAGATATAAAGAATCAATCTCAAAGAATACAAGGGATTGGAAAGAAAGATTGTTCTCTCGAAATTCTTCCATGTCAGAACTCGGTCTAAATGCAAGAAAAAAGATGAACCCGGGCATCGCTAGTGTATCACAATCGATGAATAATAGAGTTGTAAATACTAATTTTTCAAATAATTTGGAGGATAGTTCTATGGTAAACTCAAGAGAAATTGATCATGTTAAAAGAGGAGAAGACTCTTCGTGCAATAACAATACAGCAACTGTTTCTTCTACTAGTTCACATTCAAATTGAGTTTTTTTAGGATTTTATTTTGTAAGTGTACCTATCACGTTGAAAACAAGAAATTTTAATTTGTATCATTTAACCATTGGATTGTAAAAAGGAGAAATAATTGAACCAAAAGATGGGAAGATGATCCAACTCCAATGGTTTTAGGATGACAAAAGGAGTGTTGACTTAAGTTCTTTTGTTTTCTCTAAATAATGGATTGTGATTTGTTTTAAATTATAACATGTTTAAGTGAAAGAAACACAAAGGATACATGAATAGTTATGATAGATTTTCACATTTAAATTATACACAAAAATTTGTATATGAATGAGGTGAATTGGAAATATAGATGTTAAGGCATGTTTAATTTCTCAAAATTGAATGGAGTAGGATGAAAAAATTAAAAAGTTTAAATAGTAAAAATAAGTATTTTGAAAGGGGTGTGGGGTTTTGAAGATCAGCAATAAATAATATTTTCATACATTTAAACAATTTGGGAGTTTGCAAAAATGGAAGGAGGCTAGGAGGAAGTCAAGTGAGATTTTTACCTAGCGGTGAGGAAGTTAGAAATGAAGGTGTGAAAAACACGGGGGATTGAATTGGATTTAAAAAAAAATGATTTTTTTTAAAATATTCTCCTTTTAAGTTAAAATACTTTTTTATTCACTCTTGATACTAACAATAAGTACAAACGGGAAGTAAAGAACAATGTATGTTTATACTAGTTCACTTGAAAATTATCAAGATAGTATAATCCATCCGTCAAGGTGATTTTGCCTCACTCAATCCGAGGACTTAATTCACTATAACCAAACTGATTACAATTTGCACAAGCTACCCGCAAGTGACTAACAACCTCGAGACTCGCAAGTTCTAGACTTCTTAAGGATTCAGACCTACTCGGTCCCTTACGAAATATCAACTAATAATCAAACTGATTATTACAATACACAAGCTACTCGCAAGTGACTAACAAATTCTAAAACTCGCAAGCTCTAGACTTCTTAATGACTCAGACCTACCCGGTCCCTTAAGGAATATCAAACAATAGTTTGAATACAAGTTTTGTTTACAAGAATGTTGCTTCTAAAAAGCTGAGTATGTAAACTATTTTATAAACAGTGTGTTGTACCCCAAAATTTGCCCTCATTTTTCAAGGCATTTCTCATAATGATTCTCAAAATTCAAGCTTGCATAAGTACAAATTGGACTTTCCAGCATCAAGTTAAATAGGAAACTGTTAAAAAAGGCGAAACAGATGAAAATAATATTTTTGACAAAATTGGAGAAAAAACAAGTCTCCTTCGATTTATCTCTTTCGATTGGCCTTTTGGCCTCTTTTGATACAAGTTTGGCTTGCATCCTTCTATTGGGCATGGGCCTCTGACGCGTTGGTTTTGGTTCATAAGGCAGGAGCTTCCTAAATGCAACCTTCGATTTCATCTTTGGCCTCATATGGTTCATAATACAGTGGATGCCTGTGTGCTTGCTTCGATTGAATGTTTGGTGCTTACATACCTGTGTTGACTGGACAAATATTTCCCTCCCTGCTTTCTTTGGATCACAAAGTAATGGCTGGCTATATGTAGTCTTCGATTGAGCCACAGATTTCTTCTTGCACGCAAAAGGCTCCCCACCAGGCTAGCAAACACAAGGCAAAAGCCTCATGTAGCCTCCTTCGATTCAAAGAGGAAAAGTCTCATGTTTGGCTTCCTTCGAATCAGGAGGCAAAGGCCTCTTTCTGGCATCCCTCGATTTCACATTTGGACCTCCTGCATCCATATTTCGTATGGGCATGTGACCCCCCCCCCCCCCCCCCCCCCTTCTATGCAAGCTTTGGTTGCATTCTTCAATTGGGCGTATGGATTTCCTTCAAAGCTTTGGATGCATTCTTCGTTTAGGGAATTTGGCTTCTGTTGGTGAAGTAAGAAGCTAATCCAGAATTCCTTTCGTTTTGACTGTGCCATTGAGGCTATCTTGCCTACTCAAAGTAGTACAGGCAGCTGGATATGGCCCTCAGTCGAAAGGTATGCCATTGTGAGGATTTTTTTAAAGTTTTTTGCCTGCCTTGAGTTTGGTCGAAGATTAGACTTATGTGATAAAAAACAAAAAGGTTCAAAATGGTACAGGCAGCTGGATATTGTCCCAGTCGAAAGACATGCCATTGTTGAAAACATTCTAATTCATTTGGTCGAAGGATGGATCTGCATGGCCAGAACGAAAGACAAGGTATTTGATCCAAGGCATCAAGTTAAAGACGGAATCCATAGGCCAGGGCTATGTGATCTTGCTCTTCAGGCCTCAAACCTATGACTCACTCCATAATTAATTGTTTACACAATTAGTTAAACTATTACGCAGGTGTTTAAAGTATTGTCAAAAGGTCATTCTGTATATGGCATGAAGTTATCATTGCCATTTCTGGAAAAACAGTCTTTATGCAAATTTTCAATGCATTGAACCTTGTAACCTTTATCCTTGAGTACAAGTAACATCGAAAATCATAAGTCAAGTCTCCTGCAGACATCAGGCCCCCCACTTGTACTTGAACTTGGGAACCATGAAAAAACCATTAAAAAAGATTTCTTTTCGTTTTACACAAAACAGTAACATGTTATCCTGAACGTGAAAGAATCTTCCTCTCTATAAATAGAGAGACTCTTTACAAATTAGGAGACTTCTGGGGGGATAGAGAAAAAAAAAAGATCATAAAAAACTCTCACACTCTCAAACTCTAAAAAAAAACTCAAATCCCTTTGTATGTTAGAGCCTTTCGATTCATCCTCTAACTTCCACTCATCAGCTCTTTTGGTTCACCATCTAGTTTCCACATACATTATCCTTTTGACTCACTCCCTCTAGCTTTCATCCACTAGCCTTGGAACATTTCCAAAAAACCTTCAAAAAAGACCACTCAAGGAAGTCAAAGAACTCTTCGATTCACTCCTAATAAACCTTCGATTCAAGTGGTTTTCAAAGCCAAGTAGCAGCTGGAATAGCTTCAAGGAGTTTGAGGCAGACTTGATCAAATATCAAACCATTTCTTGAAGTTCTGTCGAAGTACTTCAATTTTCGCTCTAAGAGGTAAGATTTCTTAAACTTGTTATCTTTCGTTTAAACTTCATTTGTATATGCATTGAAAAGGAGAAATGTAGATATCATGTCTATAAAGTTAGCCACGCATTTAGTTTCGATTATCATGGCATATATGTTGAGAACTGCAATTCTGACTAGTTAGGCTTCGATTTTGGCACCAAACAAATTTGCGCTAACCTTTGATATTTGGTTTTCGAATGTTATATAGTTAGATGTGTATTCAGATTTTAGACAAGTTTGGTAATTGTACTGTTCAATTTTGGTTGAGAATCGAAGCTTTCGAAAAAGCTTAACATGGTAATATACATCCCTGTGCTCGAAGGAATGAAATGAAACCCTGAGTTCCTTTTATTTTTAGTGCAAGTTGTACAACTAACCGATGAAACAGACCATCCCAGTGGTACAAACAGCACACGCAAAAGGCATTTCTGTGTAGGGTCCTGGGTTCAAACCCTGGCAGGACCAGAACCATTGTTATCCTTTGTTTGTTTCCTTTTCCTTTTTTTTAAACAAACTTCAAACATTTTTCAACAAATCAAAATAACTCCTTTTGAGTTGATATTCTACACACTATTTATTCACAAGTTTTATTTTTTGAATATATAAAAATATCACAAAAAATATTTTATTTTCATAATTATTTTAATTAATCAAAACTTTTCTTTAATAAAATCAAAACAAAGTTCATTTTCTTTTCATTCCAATTTTTGCATTTATTCACATTCAATATGGTTGTAATAATTAATTAGGATTTAATTTCTTGCAATCCCCATTTGTATATTTTTATCCCCATCCCCAAGTGATGTAATAGCTTAGTAAATTTACTTTCCGCAATTTATCGCTTTCATATAAATGTTAGTAACTAAGATATGTATGGCAAGATAAAAACAACAAGTAGATAACCTAAAATTCAAAAGACAAAATGCATGCAATCAAACACACTATTCACACACATGCACCCCTAGGGTAATCTCACTTGTTGCCTCAGAAAAATAGTCATGTCCCTCGAATATGGGCGTTTTAGCAAAGACCCTCGATAAAAGATCGTAGTCCCTCGATGCTGCCTTCGATAAACGATCTAGTTCCTAAATGACATTGCTAAAACGTCCCATAGGTTACCTTCTATGACTATACAAACGATCCACGCCCGTCCCTTCACATACAATGATAGGGCTTCTTACCAAATTAATGGTAAGATAGCAACATCTAAAGGAGGAGGAAAAGAACATTAGACCTTTTGAGTAGGTAGGATGCTCATAGTCGCTCGCTTGCTCACAACAAAAACATTTTATACACTAACACTTTCCTTTGAAACATTTTCAAAAGTTAAAACACTTTGTACGCATTCTTATAGAAACGAGAATCATTACAAAGACACTTTTTCCAAATCACTTTCAAAAACACATTCCACAAACACCTCTTTGAACTATTTTCAAAACTAACACTTTGTACGCATTCTAATAGAAACGAGAATCATTATAAAGACGTTTTTTCAAAAATACTTTCAAACCCACACCACAAGCACGTTTCCAAACAAAAGAAAGTGATCTAGTAAGCAACTAAGAACCCGTAGATAACTACGGATGAAAAGGGTGCTAATACCTTCCATTTTCATAACCTACCCCCCGAACTCAAGAAATAATCTCGAAAGGTCTTTTCTGTTCTTTTCACCCTTTCCTTATTGGATAAAAGAAAATTCGGTGGCGACTCTTGCTAACCGCAACAATTGCAAACAAATGCAAAACACCAAATCAGTTTTCCCACCGTATTACAGAACTGGCGACTCTGCCAGGGAAATTACTTAAAAGTGAGGTTACCTTAGGACTAGATCACTTTTACTTGCTTTCCTTGTTTGACTTGCTTGCTTTGCATTATGGTTCCTTGTTTGGGTTTGTTTTGATCCTCTACCCGGATCTGGGGCACCT